GGGTATCGAATTTTTTTTAGGTCAGGAAAAAGTTTTAGTTAAAAAAAAAATAGAGAGGGACAGTGAAATAGGTCACCTATGCTAGCTTGACTTTGATAGCTTGAACATGTAGATGTGCTGCAGAATTCGGTGTGCTTTGGTTCAGTAAAAAAAAAAAAAAGGCGTCCTACACATTAACTCTCTGACAGATCATCAGAAAACAGGTGTTTAAATTAGCTGTATTCAGACTTATTAATAATTGCAAAATAAACATTAAACCTGAAAACATTAAACTGTAACGGATTAAATGTTATGTCCTTTGTGTGGGAAATATTTGTTGAATCCTGATAAACTAGTGGAGCGTTTGTCAGTCAGTTGCTATGGTAACAGGTCTGCATGTAGCTTACCCAACACAGAGAGTGAGAAAAAAGGAGCATACGAGTGGTTTGGAGTTGTTCTTCAAAGGTTTTTTGTTCTACTGCAGCAGCACAGCTGTGGATGACAAGCAAAAGAATATATTTTTTTTGCACTCCGGCGTTGTGCTCCAAATTTCCGAACGTAAACAATAACATGCAGCATGTTTACACTCACAGTTTTCTCTCTCCAGGGAAACCAGATCCTCAGTGGTCTCTCTTTGGCAGAGTACAAGACCACTCTGAAGATGATTGAGCAGGCAATACTGGCTACGGACCTCGCCCTGTATATGAAGTGGGTACCAGAGAAAACAATTCTAGACAGGCCAGCGGGAGGCATGCTGGGTAATTTGGTCTAAAGCTAAAAACATTCACTCAGTCATCCAAAACCTGTTTGCTCACCCCATACGAAGACATGTTGAATAGTTTCATAATTCCAACTTCATAAGAACAGATTGAGGACGGTCACTTCCTGTTCCAACGGTCACTGGTGTCCAACATTTTGAACACCAGTGACAAAACAAGGTCCATAAAGACAAAGACAGGGAAGTTAAATGCAGACCGACTTGAGATACATTAGAGCAGAAACTGACTCAGGCCGTCTTGTTCACCATCAGTGTCTGACCTCAGAAATGTGACCTGGAAGAAAGGTCTAAATTTCTATAAACACTCCTAAAACCTGTGCAGAACTTTTCCAGAAAAGTTGAAGATCTTGTAAAGGGAGGCCTTTCACCTAGGCCTGTCACAATAACAAATTTTACTGAATGATAATTTGTCCCAGAAGTTATTGCGATAAACCATAATATTGCTTTCAGACAATTTTCAAGCAATATAATGGTAAAGGCATAATAATGCAAGAACACATTCTCAAAGATGAATAAACTTTAAATTTGAATGAATATTTAAATAAATATCCAAAATAAACAGAGGAAAACAAATAAATTAATTATGAGTCATATTTTTTTATGTCCTTCAAAAAAGGGCTAGTTAATACCAAAACACCAGATTGAAGATTCTTATCATCCAGTTTTTGGTAGAAGGAGAAAAACGATAAATGATGCAAATGAAAATTATTAAATTTGTTTTAATTTATCATCCGATTAATTGATTTATTGTTTATTGTGACAGGCCTACTGACACCTATGGATTAGGTACAAAATGTCACTGAAGTTTATATGTGGGTGAAGGCAAACCAGGAGATACTTTGAAACAATCTAGTCTATGAAAGTTTGCTAAAATATGAGTTTCATTAATTGTAGCTGATGCACCAGTTTTAACTTTTTGCTTTCCATCTGCGGGTATTGTCAGAAGACGAGAAGAGTTCTTTGAACTGACCAAGAACAACCAGTTTGTTTGGGAGGATGACCATCACAGGGACCTCCTCAGGTGAACAACAAGACTGAATTTGAAAGGAGTAAATAAACTATTTACAGCAGGAGGTGGCTAATCTGGGATTAGTTTAGTTATTTCTTATATTGTATCACAATGTAGCCAGAAACCTAGTACATTATGTTTAGGTTTTATGTAAGAATGCAGAATCTGGATTAAATCTATCTGGATTAAATTTTTTCTTAACAGAAAAATCTGATCTGAAAAGTGTACTGTGCATTTGTATTTTTACCCTCTTTTTTCTGATACACCTAATTAAAAATGTAGGTCAAATATTCTTGAAGTTATGTTATACCATCACGTGACAGTGTTTATATTGTGTCCCTTCATCTCCCTCAGGTCAATGCTGATGACTGCATGTGACATCTCTGCCATCACTAAACCCTGGCCGGTTCAAAAAAGGGTAAAAAACAACAATCATCTACTCAGATTTACCTTTGTCTCT